CGCGGCACGGCCACGCCGGGTGCCTCCCTGGCACAACGCTGTTCTGTGCCCAGCCCAGTGCCTGGCTGGTTCTGTGTGGGAGCTTTGGAGGTGTCCCAGCCCCAGCCCTACACCTCCATCCTCATCCCAATCCCCATCCAGCACCAGCCCCCACCCAGCCAAGTGCCAGCAGCTGCTGCCTCAGTGTGGGACCCTCTGACCCTTTCCCAAAATCCATGTAGGTCTTGCACTTCTCCAAGCAAACCCCGTTTGGCTCAGCCAGTGCATCGTCACTGCCCCGTGAGCCCTCTGAGGGCAGGACCCTCCGATGCCTCCTCATCCTCCTGAGCAAAGGGGTTTACTCTTGGCAGCTCCTGGGCTGGGACTGGCCATGCTGGTGCTCATGCCCGGCAATGTGTCACTGTCACCCCCATGCCTCCTGCTGTGCCCCCTCCGCAGGGCTGGCTGCTTGGTGGCCTCCTGCCCCTGCTGCTGAACATCCAGCTGCTATTTGTGCTGTGCCCTTGAAGGTGTCTGGTCAAGTGTAAAGCACCATGACAGCGCACGGCAAAGAGCCTCCTCTGAGGAGCCTCCTCTGAGCTCAGACACAGCTGGCTTGCAACAAGTTGATTATGTCTGGGAGAAGATTCATTTGCTCCTGGACCTGGTGGTGAAGCCCTGCTGGGGTCCCCGGGGCTGTGAGGTGCAACTCTTGGGGTGCCATCACCTGTCCCACATGCGACTCGGTACCTTCTGGGTTAATGCTGGTGAATGAAATGGGGCCACAGTCACCCCCTCCCCATCCTGGACAGTGGGGCTGGGCAAAGGGGCTTCATCTGAGCGCATGGGTGGGCATATGGACAGAGGGCAGGCAAAAACATGACCATGGGTTTCTCTGGCCACTGGATGTGCCCAGGAGCTGCCCCCACCCCACTCCCGGGCAGCCCGGTGCAGTGGGCAGCAGTGACCTGCCGGCTTACGTCCTGTTGACCCAAATGGAGAGGGAGAAGGCTCCAAGCAAAGCAAACCACAGTAACCATCCCTGCAGGTGTTTCCAGAGTTAAGATCAAATAATGGAGGTTTTGTGGGGAAGGAGCCCCTGAGGTTCACAGTCCTGCTTCCTCCTCAATGTGTGATACACCAGCTTGGCTGTGGCCCCATCTTGAAAAACCTCTAAGGACAGACATCCCTCCCCTTCTCTCATCCCCCCCATCCCTCATCCCACAGCTGCACCACCCTCCTGGGTTAAAATCAAGGAAAAATCCCAGTATCAGTGCTGAGCCTCCCAAACTCCTCGCAGCATCGCCTGGCACTGCCAAGAAGAATTCGACTCCATCACCTTTCACCAAGGTGCATGTCCAATTGTGAGCACTCAGCCCAGGCAGGGGCTGCCCACGGCCGCAGCTGAGGCCACGGGGCTGGGGTTGGCAGAGGGAAGCTGCCCTCTCGCAAGGACCGTGTTTTTCTGGGTAAGGTGCAGCACCTTCCAGCACAAGAGGCACCGCAGCCAAGAAGCCACCTGGCAGAAACCTCATCCCATGGCTGTGAGAAGTGACCCCCAGAGAAACCTTCAGCAGAGCCCCAGAGAAACCTCAGTGACTCACCCTGTGCCAAGGCCACACCTTTAGTGACACAGAGATCTGGGAGCCTGGGCTGGGAGTGCCTCTGAATGAGCTTGTCCCAAGGGCTGGAGCAATCAGGAGTCCAGTCCCAAGGGTGTGGGAGAGCTGGAAAGCGCCAGCTCCATCCACCTGCCCACTGCCCGCTGAGCCCTCCTCAGACACGCCAACTCCAGCCAGAGGAGAGCTCTAGGGACCACTTGGGTATTTGGTGGGGACTGACTCTGACCTCACCACTGCTCCTCGAGGTGTGGAACTGCACAACTTGCCCCGCTGGTGGGTGCCCAGCTCACATCCCGGCAGCTACCAGGACCAGCGCCCGTGTGGTTCGGGTTCCCAGCCCAGGGAAATCTGTCCTGAGCTCAAGCTCTGCTCCTGGATTTGGTTGGCCTTGCTCTTGCCACCCAAAGAAACATTTTGTCCTTTATTAAACTAATTTTTCAACTTGTATTTAGCTTTGATTTGTGTATTTTCACCAAGAAAAGCACTTGCTTTTGTGAAAACAAGTTTACTTTTTCCAGTTATCCTTGGGGTAATAAAATATACTACATAAAAATCTTGCCTTGCTTATGCCTATGAACCGCCATGGCAACGCAATTCTTTTCGTAATCATCCCCCTTCCAAACTGCTAAAAATCTCATCTATTTGCTCTCCTGGGTTCCCTGTCCACGGGCAGCTGGTAGCTCTGAGCTCTCCTGCTCCATCATCATAAACACGCTTGGCGAGCTCGCACCGACCCCTGCTGTGGTATTATTTCCTGTAACTCATTTCATTGTAGTTTTAATATTGTGTTTGCATTTCTTTTGGTCTGTTGCTGCATTTTCATAAAGCAACTTGAGGAAGAATTGGTTGTCAGTGTAGTTCGCTGGCCATAAGTCCCAGTCCTGCACGTCCACCAGCCCTTCTCCTGCGTACGCTGCTCTGCATCCAGCACGTGCACTGAGCAGCCAGGAACTCCACATGGTGTCTGGTGGTCTCGTCTCTCTGATAGTCTCCTGGCTTCTATAGACTCAAACCTGTACTTTTGCTAATTTAATCACTTTGTCACTTCACTACTCACTCATTAATACAACTGGCCAATGTTTCCCATTTCTCATTGAGTTTGTGATTAACGAAAACACTTTGTCTCCCATCCTGCAATGACCTCTCCCGTACAGACTTCCCCAAGGCACCAGGCTGCAGGAGTGCACCCCGTGGGCATGACAGCAAGACAGGGACTCATCTGCGACCAACAGTTTAACCCCCCTTCAGTCCCAGCTAACTTGCTGTGAAAGCAAGATGACAGACATCTGAAACTCGAGAGCAAAAGCTGGATCTGAAAAGCAGATGAAGAAACGGTTGTGTTAAACGACCGGCTGCTGGGCGTTGCTCCACCGGCACCTGCCTGTGAACAGACCTCAGCACCTTCCAGACTGCCCGCTGCCTGTTCGTGTCACAACTGCCTTGTCGCTGGGCTTACAGGTGAACTTTGCGTTACGCCTGTGAAACACACCAGTGCAGAGCACTGTTCCCCAGGGACGGCAGCTCCCAGCGCTCACCTTTGTTTGGAGGCAACTCTTGGCAACGTGTCTGTTTTGCAGCAAACCTGCCCTTCAGTCTCCACTCCCCACAGAGGGAAGTTTCCTTTTGCATTTTTGCAGACGGCAGCTCTCCAGCGCTGTCACAGCCTCTCCAGGGGACGGCCCTGACCACGCTGCTCCTGCCCGGCCGCCTGTCGCAAGAGTTCCCCCCCCTTCCACGGAAAGGAGTTTGCCTCTCACTACGAGACACCAAACCTGACAAAACCACCAAGGGTGCCAGGTCGTGCCAAGAGAAACAACACAAGCACACAAGGTAACAATGAAACTCAGTTATAGCTTTATTTATTTAATAACTGGTACAAAGTCCCCCTCAGGCAGAGCCTCCCAGTCCCATTCCCTACCTGAAATGGAGCAGAACATGAGCATGACCCTCAGAGGAGCTGGCTCCCAGTGAGTCAGGACTGCTCAACAGTTAAGAAAGGATGTTTTGCTCATCTGTCAAGACCTGTAGTAGCCTGACGACTCATCCCTTTTCTCCCATTAACAGCTAGACCCTGGCACGCAGCCGGTGTTCACCTCCCGCCCTCTGTGATCCAGCAAAGGCAGCAGAATTGGGAATTCCATGAAGACAGTGAATAGCAACTGCACGGAGGCATTCACTGCTCACACTCCTGACCCCACTCACCCCAACACGTGTCTGCCAGCAGCCATTTACACTCCCTGCTGTCTCCTGAGCCTCAGCTGGGTCCCTGTGCAGACACCCTGCCCGGGGCTGGCAGCAGTGGGAAGCAGAGCTGGCAGTGCCAGAGATTTCTGGCTCTCCACCCGGCAAGGGGCACTGCTGCCTGGTTCACAACCTACCTGACGTTACAGATTCCCCTGGGGCAGGGTAGAACAGTGACTAGGGGTTAACTGCATCTGGCCTTTCTGCAGGACAGACAGAAGGTGAGCAGGGGCGGGCTGGAAGCCAGGGCTGCTGTAGTTTAATCCCTTGTACTCGGTTAATAGTGCATCTCAGTTCAGTGGAAATTGCTTTGCCTGTTCAGGAGGCTCAGGTAAGAAATCATTCTGCTCCTTCTTAACACACACACAGAGATGAGACCAAGACAATATTTCTGACTATTTGTTTTCCCCACAGCTGCCTGGCATGCCAAGAGTCCTGGGAACACAAAGACCTTCTGGTGGGTTCTGTGCTCCAGGCACAGCTCTGCCAAGAGCATGACCTGCTCCAGCGCCTGGAGTTTCACATCATCATGGTCTTGCTTTCCCACAGATGCCATACCAACTGCACCACAAGGGTCCTTTAGCAGAAGCACAACTAGAAAGCAATTCTAAACCTCACAAAGCCACAGAAATTATATTTAAATGAACAGGGGAGACAACGGCTGTCATCTGGATCGATACACAGCACAGACAGGAGATGGTATCAGCGTGTACAGTAACATGACTTACTAAGACCGCGGAATGTTAATGAGTTTTAAAGAGGCTCTGATGCCAAGGGCATACAGAAAGGACCAAAGTAATGCCAAGTACAGACTACCAAGGAGGTGGCAGCTCAGATGGGCATGCACAAGTTAGAGAGAACAGTTAATGCTGTGTTGGATGAAATGCTAGATTCTGAGTGGGTTCAGTGGGGGTGAGTGGAGTTGTCTGAATCCAGAAGAGGGGCTCCTGTCTAACAGGACACTTCCATGGTTTGAGGTGCATCCTGGAGATCAATTCCTTCTGGGGTTCCAGCACTTCCTTCACCATGGTTGCTGGTATGAGACCGGCTGCGGACGCTCTCCCCAGAGCCCACGCTAGAGGAGGAGTGAGTACGGGAGCGCATCAGCCTGGTCATACTAGCTGCTGGCACTGCAAGAAAGAACAAGGGGGGGACTTAGAAAAGGAGGAAGTTCCTCAAGCAAGTATCACAGTCACTCAGATACGTGTCACTGGGTAAGCACAAAAAGAGCTATACCCTCAGGAAGAAATTTCACTCTTCACTGCCAAAATTAAGTTTTCGCACATCTAAAGCAAGATGTTTAAGGCCCAATTTCAAAAGGTCCAAGGTGAGCAAATGCCAGGAGTGTAACTGATCATTTGCAAGTGCAGTCACGGCGAGTGTCTGTGCGAACCACGGCAGCTGCTGTACAGATGACCTTTTGAAAGTCAGTCTCGTCACTCTAGAAAACCACAGAGCTGAAATCATGCAACAATCAACAAAATACAAATGAAAGGTGAAAAACCAGAGCATACACGTTGTACAATGGATCAGCCTAGCTCGCAGCAGGACATGCCGAGACAGAGCAATGCACCCGAAGAATCATTCAACTCAGCACACAGACTTGGGTCGAGGCAGACGCACGGTTGAAGGTACCTGACTCAGTGCTTAGGTGGCTGAGCTGCACATAAGGGACTGGAAACAACATGAGACAAGGGAAGGGATGAATACAGGAAAGAGCCAATTAGTTGCAGTGTGCGAGTAGCAGCTGCACTGCTCCTGGGATCCCCAGCTACTTCGCCTTCCACTCCCAGCTCACACACTGCGCTGAAAGCTCCTAATATTGGTGAAAATAGCTTCATCTCAGCGAGATGCCAAGCTGTCAAAAATCCATCAGGGCCAGGTCTCTTCAATGCCTTTAGCTGGAAATTGCAATGTACCTGGTGACCCCACCTCCCCACTGTACACACAACTGCTCAACAGAGATGTCATTCTCCTGTGATGGGGAAACTGGGTTGTACTCTGTAACTCCAGATACAGAATGGAAGATCACGACCTCCCTTGAGTTGACAGCATCAGATTTCTGCTACAAGCCTCCTCTAAGGCATCACCTTCCACCTGCAGTGTCAGCACAGGCAGGTCCAACTGTTTTAGCCAATGTGCAGAAGGAACAAGAATACCTGTTGAGGAACCAGCTAGTGCACTTCTAGAAATGGCAAGCTGCTGATTTGCTTCTTTCTTGTTCTCCCTGAGAGAGGAGGGGCCAAGCTGGCCAAGCTCAGCAGTGCCAACACAGGCCTGCCCAAAGACTTGAGGAATCTGGGAAAACCATTCTGGGACTAGCTACTAATTCTGGAAGTAGAAAGCCACACCCTGTCCTTCCCCCATGCTGCACATCCTATTTGCAAGAGATTCGACCCTGGAAGTGCTGCTGAAGTCCTTGCTCTGGTGACAGCACTTGCTGACTTTACTAACACCATGAACACAAGAGATACAAACACTGAAATGCTCTCAGGCTGTGAGGCTGAGGGAGACTTCTCACATGGCACCTTCCTCTGCAGGACCAGGCTCTTCTGGCCAGCCTTGGAGAACATGATTGTCCAACTATGTTCATGTCAACTACACAGCTTCGTATGAGCCCTGACACCCATGAGTTGGCAAGGAACTTCTGGCTGCGTGGAGACCATTGGGAGTGTCACAGCTGCCATGGTGGCCATGCTGGTGGTTAACCAGTCACATGAACCAAGTCCTCCCATAATTCCAGCTTTTGAAAGTTCATCGTCCACAGAAGGCAACTCCTAGCCCTGGCCCCTGGCAGGCAAGACACAGCTGTGCCAAGGTGCCTGCAATGAGACAGAGTTGCCTGAGAGCACTGAGAAGCCCTTTCCCTGAAGTCCCCCAGCCCCTGGAGTGCCAAGTGCAGGGAGTTGAACAGCTGTCAGCCTGACACACTCAGGACACAGAGTCTTCTGCCTCCAAGCGCAAGGAGGAAGCCATAGGACAGGGCATGCATGGGAACAAAGCACAGCTGCCTCTGGGCTCCCCAAGTGTCTCTGAAGTCCCCAAGCTCTCTGCTCTGCCATTTGAGGGTTTCATTCTCAGATATCGCTTACCCCTGCTGAGAGGCTGAAAGAAACGTGTGTGTCTGAGGAGAAAGGAAAGAGCTCTCATGTACCCATCACAACTGCGAGGCTGTACTGCTAACTCCTTCACCTCTGGAGAAGATATGCCCAGAAAGTATCAGAAGATTTAGTGTTCTTGGGAGCACACTTTTCTGGATTGGCACAAAGACAGACTTACAGGGTTTTACCAACACCAGCAACCAAAAAGGGGTTACCACTTCAGCTGCAGTGCAGATTGAACACAGGCCAGGGAACAACACTGGTTTGCTAAGGTTTGCTAGCAGACTAGTTGATTTTCCAGCATGGATGGATCTCCTGGCAACCACACTAACTCACGGGTGGGGACACAGATGCCAATGGGCTCAGATGGACCAGAAAGGTTGAGTTCCCCTCACAACAACCCCGCTCTGAAACAGAAAATTTTGTTTGCCACTTACTGTAGCCCATCCCCTGCACAAAGTACTTGAAGGCTTCAGTCAGCTTGCCAGGCTGTGGAGACAGAAAGCGCGGCTTTAGTGGGAGCAGAGCGAGAGGCTCTGTACAACTCACATACTGCGGGACAGTCGAGAGGCATTTCTCACCTGAACCACCTGGGGCAGGCCCCCGCAGTCGGCCATCTGCAACAGGAAACAGAAGGGAGGTTGAACATCCTTCCCAGCACAGGAACAACCCCAGAACCGTGCCAGCACTGCCCACCCCTCAGGGGCTGATGGCACCTGGATACGCTGCTACATGAGGCACATTTCTACCATCTTGTCTCTAAGACAAAGCAAGACCTGGTGATCCATCCTCTGTGAGTCTGTCGCTGAAGGAACCCAGCACCTTGGAGCCCACACTACCAAGCCACCTTGGGCCATACTCTAGAAGCCCAAGATAACCCTCCACCACCCTGGCTCCTGCCACTCTTCCCAAACCTGTCACTTTACACTTCTATACAGCAGATGTACAGCACGCTGCAGAGCCACAGGTGAGGATGGGAAGGACTGGTATAAAGCTAAAAAAAGTGATGTTTTTGCTGGTAGAGGGCAGGCTGGAGGCAGGGCACCTCTGCTAACTCCCAGCAGGTCTTCCCTGCAGGTTGGAGCTAACAGAGAAGTGGTCATGAAGCAGGGATTTGGGGAACCCTTGACAAACTCTTCTCTCCCAAATCTGGCTCCACACAGGGGAAAACACAGCCCTGAATGACTGTCCACAAAGTTCTTAAAGCTAAATGTATGGAGGGCAAAAACCTAAGAGGAGCTGGCCTCAACAAAAAGAATGTCTTTGTGCAGGCTGGAATGATTCTGGAGAGGCACTCACCTTCAGAAGGGTCGTTTTGGTTGGGTCAAGACGTGAATTGCATTCAACCTAAAATAAAAGGAGGAAAGAGAGATATGATATCACACTGAAAATTTGAAGAGTCAGATGTAAAACCTGGGGCAGCTGCACCAGAGGCAGTGGCTGTCTTCAACAGTGGCAGCTTCTCTGGGGCCAAGAAGGACTGAGCAAGAAAGCAGAGAGCATGTAGGAAGAGAACAATGAATGAAAGATGCAGAGAGAAAAGGCAAGTGTTCCCATTCAAGGAGACCTTCTGGTGACAGAATGTCACTGTTCTGAGAGACGGGGCTGTGACTTCAAGGGAAATCATCCTCTGGTTTTGGTGATGCACCAGGAAACCCTGAAGCACCTTCTGTGCTCTGACAGCAGGTTTGGGAGGGAAGGAGCCTTCTGTGCAGTGCAGCAGAGAGGGAGACCCCCCAGTCCCCTGGCCAGACAAGGAGGCCACGGCCATCACTTCTCTATAAGGCTGCTGCAAAAAGGGAATTGGTGGGGGCCCTATAGGGAAAGCAATCCCAGTAGGAAAGATTATTATGAGCTGGGAACCTGGGCAACCAGGTAGGCAAGCCAAGATCCTGAAAACCCGATCTCATCCCCCAGCTGTGGCTGGAAAACAGTGAGAATCCTCAGGAATGTTATCCTAGCAAAGTCAAAACCTGGAGAATGTCTCAGACTTCCAGAACAAATAGACTGATGAAAAGGCAACAGGCCATGACCAGAAAAGCCCTGCAAGCAGTTCTCCATGCACAGTTCCTGCTTTAGGAGACTCCTGCACTCTTTTATGGCTTTTTAAGGCAACTTATTTTGTTCAAAACCCCCTCGTCTCCCCACAATCACCGGCTGAAGGGGAGGAGCAGCATCCACCACAACCACACTGCACTGTGCCATGCCCCAGTTTTAACTGTGCTCGAGGGAAGTGGGTTTGCAGAGAACAACAGGAAGGAGATGCTTCTAAGTGCTGCCTTCTCTATGATACGGTGCTTTTGCAGAGCTCTATGTTACCCCCAACACAGGGGTCTCACTGCTTATTTTTAACCCCAGGTAGCGTCAGTACAACAGCAAGAGAACAGTAATTCATGACTTGACTGAACTCCAGGCAGCAGCCTGGGACAGCTCGGGGAAAGATGAAGCTCCTGAAAGGGGTCCTCTGCATCACTTGCTGAGCAAGATGCTTGGGCACAAGGACTCTTAGTCAGATCCTGCCATCCTCACCTTAGAGCAGCCCTGCAGGACCATTAAGGTCCCCGAGTCTTGGCTCTCCCACTAGTGGCTGACAGGTCTCAATAGCTGGGGGACTGGAAAGGAGCTTGGGACAAAGAGCCACTTCCTGTGACTAGTTCTGGGCAAGGTGAAAGCACTGCTGGGTGAGGCAGGTTTGCCAAGTGATTTGTGGGCTAATGCCACGAGAGGAAAGAGTTCACATATACGTACCACTGCTTCCACGGCAGGTGAGTTGTCACCAACCACTAGCAAGGCAGGGCACCTGGTCAAAACCCAAAACAGAGAGATGTTACTCACACTCATCTGAGGGATTTCTGAAAAGGTTGAGGTCTATGAACCAACAGCCTCATGAAAGGTCAACAATGTTCAGCAAAATCCCTACCTGCCACAACGCCACAGCATTCTACTGCACCAAAACACCCTCCAGGGCTTGCACACGCATTCATGCTGTCCCCTCCATGCACACCACCTACCACTACTCTTCCTCACATATTAAAAGATGTGCCTAGCACTGGGAGAAACATCCTCCCAGGCTGCAAAAAGGAGCATGCCCATGAAATGGACATCTATTAGGAACTTAAGAATAACCACATCCAACAGAGTTAATACATCTGAGGCTGGCTACTGCTCAGTATTGTATTTTGGTTTGGATTTTAGAAAGAAACACCAAAGATGTTGGGGAATATATTGGAAAATGTCATGATATCAAAGCCTCTGCTGGCAGATCTGTGCCTTCATATCCATTTTTGTATGTATTGTAATTCTAGAAGAACTATTAACATTCAATGTGTAAAACACGTACAGGAGGTCACTGACCATGTGGCTGTGAATTGACACTATTCATTTACAGATCAGGGTAAGAAAGGTATGGCTAGAGAACACACTTTTTTGTGCTGACTGGATGACAAAAATCAGACTATGGAGGCTGTGAGCCGCACACCTGGAGCCAGTGGAATACCACCTCTAAGGAGACAGGGGACCTATATGTAATTCTATGGGCACAGAGATCCACACTTCCACAAGGAATATTTTAAGGGTCTGCAGATTCCTGTGAGTCACTTGGATGGACAGACAATGCTCTGTGACTTACAGCTGCCTGTGTGGCAGAGAGCAGTACGACTGGCTTTGCCTGGACACCAAGCAGGGAAATCCATCTCTTTTAGGTTCACCAAGATCTAGAGGGTTTGGCTGTGGATGCCTAAAACATATCTGGGACTGGCAGGAGCAGAAGTCCATGTAGTTTCCAAGGAGTGAAGAGCAGATCCTGGGCAGCAGTCTCTAGCCCAGCCCAGGTATCCTGCCTCAGCACTGCAATTCACAGTCTCCAAGTGTTCTACACACTGGAGATAATTTTCCCCTTTTGCTTTCTTGCTTGGAATCTGAAAATTTACTTGTACTTCCCCTGTGCCAATTATCACTAGTTCACCAGTGTCTGTCCCTTCTCAGGTGTACACTGACTGTCCCCTCCAGATGAAAGAGTCACTGCCATGGTGGGAAAACACCACTGCATTCTCTGCATTCAGAACCCACTGCTGTGTCTGGGAGGATTGTCCAAGGTGGAGGAAGGCAATCAGTTGCAACAAACAAAAACCTGCTGTCCTAATTTCTCATGCAAAACAACCAAACTAGCAGCTCAGCAAGTACAGTGACTGCTGGTGGATACACTCATTCCTCCAACCCTGCCTTCTCAAGAATCTCAGTGTGTTCTTGATGAAGGGGCTTCCAGACACCTCTCTGTCCCACTCTAGCTGACAGTACCAAAGGCTGGGACAGTCTGAACAACCTTCCCAGCACTTGGGCTTGTGGGGTTCTTGCTGAAAAACAGCAACAGCTTTTCTGCTGAAGGGACTGCACAGTAAATAGCTGATAGAGGCTGATTCAGAGCAACTTACTTGAGTGTTTTTGCAGTATTTTCATTGATGCCAAGAACTGGTCTCTCAATTTCCAGATCTCTACGACTGAAAGGCAAAATGGAACAATTCTCTATCACATTAGCAGAGGAAACTGGTTATCATGGGAACATACAAAATCCAACCAGGAGTGCTGGCTCCAGCACCCAGGCAACAGGTTATCACTCCCTGTGTCAAACCACAAGCAGGAGCCTCAGCAGTAACTGCCAGAAACCAGGAGCCATGCTCTCACAGCAAGCTTGCTGTGTACCTAGAGAGATGATCTACTGAGGTGTGAAAGGGTCATCAAAGCACAAGGCTGAGCTTGGCTCAGGATAATGGCTGAAGACTGGTCTTAGGACAAAGGTTTACATGACACAATATCCAATAGAATGATACATACAGCAGCAAATCTACTGATGATGGAAGCTATGGGAGCAATCTAGCAGGTATCCTGTACCTGTTGTATGAGGTGAGGAACAGCTGAAGGTTATCTTGGTTAATATCTTGTGCGATATGAAGCCTGTAGGTTTGGATCAAATCTAGATTTGCCTGCAGCTCCTCCTGTAGAAAAGCAGAATTGAAAGACAGAGAATATTATCTTTTTCACAAGTAAAGAAATGATACTCATAAAAATACTAAAGCATTAAGCTGCCTCCATACACATCATTCCCCTGCAAAGAATAACACATCGAGACTGCATTAGTACCTTGGCTACATGAAGTGTTTCTGTGACAGGACTGTTAAGTGTGATACTTTGGTAATGTGACTGCACTTACACAAATGGCAGTGCACATGCTGCTGCAGGAGGACAAAGGTATCCTGAGATAGGATAAGTTAGCTCCTGAGCCTCAGTAATGCTTCTACAAATACAAATCACTCTGTTTTAGGAAGGTCTACTGCTTATGCTTAATGTGAAAGAAGTAAAGCTTTATAGGTGAGCCACAAGACTGAGATCATAGGAAAATTTAATCCCAACACCCAGTTCTATGAAGAAACGGCATTCCAATGAGAAAAACAAGGAGAATGCAAGGAAGCCCCATGTATAATGAAGGGGCTTGAAAGCTGGGCAAGAACAGCGTATGCCCTAAGCAGGAGGAAGCTACGTGACTCCTTCCCATGCTGATGTGTGTTGCAGGAGAGCTTCAGTCAGGAACTGGATGTCATGTATAGTGTGCTTAAGGCACAGACCTAAAACCGAAGGGGAAGACAAAGAGTAGAATGGTGCAGTTCAGCCTCCGGACATGTATCACATCCCATGGTCAGCTCCCAGCTGATCTGAGCTCTACAGCCCAAAAGCTTCCATGCTGGCTGCAGAGAACCAGCTGTCACTTGCTTCTGCAGACAGTTGCCTGGGTACCACAAAGACAGGAGTTCTAGCACTAGATGTGTGGGACGCTTACTTCCTTAACGTGTCTGGAGTCTGGAGACAGTCAGGGCAAGCATAAGGACACGCATGCTCCCCGCAGTGTGCAAAGCTCTGATGGGAGCTTGCCACACAGAGAAGATGGTACTATTTGTGGCAACCCTTATTCGATGGACCAGAGCTATTTCAGAGCAGGTACATAAAGAATTTATAGCCCCATGTACAGTTGCACGGGCAACATTAACATCTGCTGGGTACTTACATGGCCAAAATGATGCGCCAAGACAATATCCACTATGTTGGTTGTCCAGCCTGAAAACTGAAGAGTAACAGTGAATAAGGAGGAGGGAGAGTAACTGGAAAATGCAGTTTCGTTACAAATTTCAAAGTAGCTCCTCAGAATAAAGAAAATAACAAAGAAACTATTCAACCCATGTAAGAAACAAATTCCTGAAGCTTGAGATGGGTGTGCAAGGCTCCAAAAACGCCTGTGCACACACAACACACAGCTCTCCAGAAACTTGGAACCCTGAATAACTGCAAGTGGTTAGAATAACAGAATAATTAAAAGATCCATTCAACCTCAGCCAAATGAAGCTTGCAAGCATGAATACTAAATCAGAGGAAAGCTGAGCGCTCAACAGCCACTCATCTCCAAGCAGTTTACCGGGATTTCTCATTCACATATGATCACACCCACCCCTGCTGCTATAGTGGAGGCCCTGCTACACCCTGACTGAGAACACAGCAGGGACAGAAATGAGATTGTACAGTTTTTGCCATAAATCAACCGATTCCCATACTGTGTCCTTTTTCTTCTTACTCTACACATTATTCATTAAGCACCGTGGAGAGGAGACGTACAGGGGAAGGAAAATCTCACCTTGGATGCTGCCCAGTCAATCCAGCCCTTTGCACATGGATCAACATTAATAAGAACGAGTGCCTCCACCAGGTCAGGGTGGCTGAGCTGTGGGGACAGAGCACAGGCACACTCAGAAGGATGATTCAGCCTGCATGTTGGACAACAGCAGGTGCAGCAGCTGGAAAGCTTCTTGCAAAAGGAACACAGAGTTAAAATGAAAACTAAGTGCGAAGCTCCTTCTGTGCTGGGCAGCCAGTGGCCTTTTCAGAGCCTTGCCCAAAGCTGATTCCCAGTCAGACCTTACTCAATTCAGCTGTTGGCACTGCTCACACAGCACCTGCAGCCTCAGCAGTGTCTTCTGGTGACCCATGCATCTGGTGCAGCCACAGGTCCTGCTCAGGCTCCTGCGGATTACAGGGCTGTGAACAGTGACTCCCTCTTCTCCAACCTGGCACCTCCAGGAAAGACCTGACCACCTCCCTTCCACTCCTCAAGGAACAGGTCATCTACCAGAGGGGATGTGGCAAAATGGCAAGATTTGGCAAATGGCACAGGAGTTAGTGCTGAGGCCCCACCAGCACCTGCAGTCTGAGCAGAGGCCTGGGAAGCTCCAGCTGCAGGGACACTCGGCTCACCAGAGCATCCCCACTGCCCCCCAGCCTGCAGACACCCCTTCTCTGGCTCCAGCCTGGCATCCCCAGCACCCTGGAGTTCACCTTAGGGTGAGTGTGTGGGGAGCACAGGTACAAAATACTTTGAGAACTGTGTGCAAACACAAACCCAGCAACCTAACACAACCAGAGAACTAGGACCTCTAGGCTCACTCCACAGCTGAAATTTTACGGCAGGGGTTCTTCTCCACTTTAGGGGGTAG